AAACTGTTGTTGAGCACTGCTAATAAACAGTTGCAAGAACTGGGTATGGCCAGTCTAGAGAATAGAAGGACTAGGGCGGACATGAGAGCAATATTCCTGTATTTGAGGGGCTGCCACAAAGAAGAGGAGATCAACTTATTTTTCAAAGCACCTGAAGGCAGAACAAGAAGCAACGGATGGAAACTAATCAAGGAGAGACGCAACCTGAAATTAACAGGGAGGACAATTAACCAGTGGAATGATTTGCCTCCAGAAGTTATGGGTGCTCCATCACTGAAAGTTGTCTCAAATTGTATACGGTCTCCTGCTTGAGCAGAGGATTGGACTAGAAGATCTCCAAGATCCCTTCCAGCTCTATTTCGATTGATTGATTGACTGAGTTGTGGTGTTTCTACAGTTCTCCACACTGGAAAAAGATTGAGCTTCTCTTTGAGTGTCCACATTGTACGTCAACATCTTAAGGAGGTCCGCGCTATTTCTAACGTGTCGTCCCTCCTCACTTTTTATGCTTCATCACTTTCCTTACTTTCATCAGGAAGAATAAGAATTCTGTGGTAGGTGCCTCTGTGGGGGCACCTACCATCTGGAATGAGCTCCCCCCGGAGATACGGAGGATCCCGGATCTGCGCACCTTCCGCCGCGCTGTGAAGACCTTTTTATTCCATCAGGCGGGCTTGGCCTAATCTCTTCCCTTTTTTAAATATGTAAATTTTAATCTGTTTTTAAATTATTGGGGTGTTTTAATCTGTCTGGGCCAAAATGATTTAATTTGATTTTATCTGGTTTTTAAATTTTTTGTATCTATGTATTTTATTGTTTGGCTGTTCACCGCCCTGAGTCCTTCGGGAGTAGGGCGGTATACAAATCAAATAAACTAAACTAAACTAAACTAATTCTAGCCTTTTTCTTCGAGCTTGGGTTTTTTCTTAAATTGAAAAAGGCACAAAGATTTACACTAGGACGGTGGTTTTCAACATAGACGCCGCGGGAGCTTGGGGGGGTCCATGGCCACAAAATGCATTTAAGGGAATTAAGTGGTAAAGAAAAGAATGAGAAATCTGCACTAGGACATTGCAAACCTCACAAGGACCAGTCTTTCTAAAAGGGTCCCTGAATCCAAAAAACCCCAAGTATTTATCTACATTTTCCCCCTCCAGGTAAAACTTACATAGTTCTCAAAGGACATTGGAACGGGTCTTCCTGAAAGCGTAGGAGGTTGGGAGAAAAAACAGGGGTTGCCAGGGGCAAATTCCCACCAATAATGAGATCTCCAGGCCTGTAATAGTCCTCCGGAATCTGCAGAGACCTTGTCAACACACATACAGTTTGCATCCTCTTTGCAGAAGTTGGAGGCAGGAGCCAGAAGAGCAGCAGCAGGAGGAGGAGAGGCAACCCAGTCATTCTTCTTACCTTCCCTCCAAGATCAGAAATCTAGGTTTGTGCAGAAGGTAAACTGCAGGTAGCACTTGAAATCTCATCACAGCTTTAGCACAACAGAGGCAGGTCGTTCCACCTGGATGGCTTTGTGGCAAAATTAATATCAACCATCCTTCTCCTTATAAGTGTTTGGGCTGTGACCGAAGACAAAGCTAAGGCCAGCTGAGTCTCATCCAACCCAGGAGTGAGCTCTTTGCAAGACAAGGTGAGGTGACACATGTCTTGCCACCCCACCTGGGGAACTCCAGGCTTATATTTTTAAAGCAGATTTTATCTGGGAAGGTTTTTGTGAATAGAAACCCACAGGGAATAAGAACAGCAGTTCCATGGATAATTGCAAAGAAGAGCAATTGTCCTACCCAATTATTACTAGATTTGTTTAGCATACCAGAAAAGGAAAAACATGTTTGCGTCTCTTGTTCTAATCCACAGAGATGGACTTGAGAACGAAGGTGAAGTTGGATATTTGATTTAGCATGAAACTGAGGGGGGCTTGGGGCTCTCTGAGCTTGGTTGTTTTCTGGCAGACATTTCATTACCATACTAGGTGACATCATCCATGCTAGAAGGGAGTGGGGTTTATGGAGAGGAGGAAGAGGATGATGATGATGATGAGGAGGAGGAAGGCAATGACAACTGTAGGGTCTTTAGTACTCTTTGAGCTTTGATGTTTACTTGTAGACATTTCATTACTGTACTAGGTGACATAATCAGTGCTAGAAGGGAGTGGGGTATGCTCTCAACTTGCCTTGTCAGTGCTGATGGGAGTGGTCTTGGTATTTCCTTAGTCAGGTTGCTTATTGTTAATCTGTTTGAAGTATTGTTCGCTTCTTCTTTTTTTATTTTTTTATTTTTAATATTTTATTATAACACAATATGACCTCTTTTTAACCAGTGTTTCTTAGTGGTCTTCTTTCCGTTTTGTACCTTTCCCCTGTATCTCTCTTACTGTTTCATTTTCTTCGTTGTCCCTTTTTCTTTGGTTACATTGTATTTTCTAACACCGATAACCTTAATTGTATACATTTCTATATATTTGTTACTAGCTGTACCCGGCCACGCGTTGCTGTGGCTCAGTCTTGTGGGTATACAATATTTTTTGACCGAGTGCCAATAATTTCCCTCTGTAGCTTAGGTAACGCCTACTTTGCCTCCGTCCCACCAGTCTTTTCACTCGGTCGACTGGATTCGGACCTGGGTTGCCTTTCTGTACGTTTCTTTTTGGACTTTAACGTCACTTAATGAATTGCTTTCTTGGACTTTTACCTATTTGGTGTTTGTATTGGGAGAGCTGCGCGTTGTGGGATTGGCGGAGGCCTCCGCCCGGGCTGCCGTCAGTGAGTTTGTGTTCCTGGGGCTCCGGGACGCTGGCTGCCAACAAATAATTTGAATCCAGCAGCCATCCGGAGGTTTGTCTTCGGACGCCTCCAAGGATACTTTGCCGCGGGCATAAGAGCTGGTTTCCTGGCTTGCCGGTATAACCGCCTTCACTTTCACAGCTCTCCGCACCACAGGCAGCATTGGGGTCCCTGCCAAAGGTACGGCATACTCCGTTAGTCGGGAGGACGCTTCACAGCGGTTGACATTTCCCGCCATTTTGCTTGTGGGCTTGGTGGTGGAGGCACTGAGGGGGAAAAGACCAGGCTCGCGCCTGCCATTGTGATGCTGCAACGTTAAAGTCCAAAAAGAAACATAGAGAAAGGCAACTCAGTTCTGAATCCAATTGACTGAGTGAAAAAACTGGTGAGACGGAGGTAAAGTAGGCCTGACCTGAGCTACAGAGGGATATGACACAGCTCAATTCCAACCCAATGTCGCACAAAATAAAAAAATTAAATCAAAATGAAAATAAATCTATGAAAATTCAATTTAACAATGCAATTGGAAACATTGAAATGGAATCATAAAATTGGAAATTTGGAAATCATAAATGGATCGTAAATTGGAAACATTGAAATGGAATTGTAAAATATTTAGTATAGCGTGTGTTGCTTTTACGTCCAACAGATGGCGCTGTTTTTCAAAAAAGCATGTTTTTACCATTTTTACCTGTCACAGGTGTGACATCTATATAATATAGGTATATAGAAACATGCAGGTATTCGAATGCAACATTGTGTCAAAATTTCAAAGCAATCGGTGAAGAACTTTCAGAGATTTAAGATTTTGAACAAACGAACATTTACATTTTTATTTATATAGATATACATATTTTACATTCTTAAATTCTCCCCTGTATTTATTGTTCTTTATTTCTAGTCCCAAGCCATTCATACCATTTGTTCCAAATTTTTCTTTAATTTCTTTTGTTAATTTGTCCATCTCTGCACATTCTAAAACTTTTTCTTTCACTTCTTCATCTGTTGGTGTCTTTTCCTGTTTCCAATTTTGTGCATATGTTATTCGTGCAGTTGTTATGATATGCAGAATTAGATTTTTATTTCTTTGGTGTATGTTCTCGTGAATATTCCTAATAAGAATGTTTCTGGCTTTCTTTCAATTGGTTGTTCTATTATTTTTTCTAGCCATTTCTTTATACTTGTCCAATTTTTTTTTTTGCCGTTGGGCACGTCCACCACAGATGGTAATATGTTCCATGAGTTTTCTTACACTTCCAACACGTTGAGGTATTATTTGGGAATATCTTTGTAAGTCTTGGTGGAAGATGCCATCTATAAAACATCTTCAGCTGATTTTCCTTGTATGCCACGAATAATGTTAGTTTTGAATTTACTTGCTACATTGTTTCCCATCTCTCCAAATCTATTGTATAATTAAAGTTCTGTGCTCATTTAATCATTGTGTCTTTCACTATCTCCTCTTCCATTTTGTATTGCAATAAAAATTTATATATCTTACTAATTAGCTTCTCATCTGTCCCTAGTATAATTTTGTCTAATTCATGTTGTTCTCTTTGTATTACATATGTTTTTGTATCTTCTTTATATTTAGATTGGATTTGTGTGTATGTCCACCAGTCAATAGCTCTGTTACCAAACTAGGTGACTTCATCAGTGCTAGAAGGGAGTGGGGTTTGCTCTCAGTTTATATACTAGTGACTTGCCCTGTCAGTGTTGATGAGAGTCTTGGTATTTCCTTGACTGGGCTGTTTATTCTTAGTCTGTTTGAAGTATTGTTTGCTTCTTGATTGCACGTCTAATGTTAATCTTGGTGTTAACTGCTGCTTATTTGGGTGTTGATTGCTGCTGAGGAGGTGTTTGGTCTTTTTGTTCCCTTTTTGGCTTGTTGATTATCTCTTTTGAATGGTGTGTAGATGTTGTTTATGTCTATGTACCTGCTGATGGCCGATTCTTCTGACCGCCAGTTGGTGTCCATGGATGTGCTAGTTGTTTGCCTCTTTGTCCACTCTGACAAATCGGCTGTCTACAGGTAGAAATACAAGAGCAGCTAGACTAAACTAGATTTACTCCAATTTTTGAGCTGCACCTGGTGTAACAGTAGAGTTTAGATTTAGTTTTATGGAGAGTTTGATCCTATTAGAAAAAAGTTCTGGATTCAGAACTAAACCAGGTCAGACAAAGAACACACAGGGCAAGTCGCTTGGAAAAGAGGCATCGTTTATTTGAGAGCTTAAGTACAGATTGCAATGAAACAGTTGTCAAATATTTACCTTTATACCTTTCTTTTGTTCCTCCCAGGAACAGAGCCCACCCTCTGGGAATTATTAGGAGCTGCAATTAGCTGGATGGCCAGAAGGGGGCATTCATTGGCTAAACTTGTGGGGTTTTTTTCTACTTATTTACCCTATCAACTAGCTTCCTGCATAATTAATATTAAGGCTGGAGGTGGCAGTCAGAGAAAGGGATCTTTTGTTAATTAAGAGGTGGAATCTCTGAATCCTGAAAGGAATTCTTATCTGAATGACTATCACCCTTGGCCAGTTTCAACCTCTTTCTGTGTGTAAAGGCTCTTTGTCTGGATCTTAACTCATAAGGGCTTCTGTGTAGCCTCCAATGCAGTGGCACCTTGCATTTGTGGACATCACCCAGGGAGAATTTTCTTTACAACCTTAACCTTAAAAAAAATTCCATTAAATGACAAATTCATCCCTCATGTTATCATCTTTTAGAAAATTTATCACATTCTAAACATGCCTCAAATATAAATGCTGTCTATGTTTGCATTATTTAGAAGTTCTTGTTTCTGATTATATTTCCTCTACAATTCAGCTCAGGTCTCAGTAGGATAATGTAGCATTTGGGAAAAAAGATACAAGCTAAGAGAGCAGCTCCAGAGGCCAAAATGGAGAAGATCTCCACAGCCACCATGGACTTCCCTTTGGTGCTCAGGTAGGTGGGGAGGAAGGTGATCCAAACACTGCAAAAGACCAGCATGCTAAAAGTAATGAACTTGGCTTCATTAAAACTATCAGGCAATTTCCTAGCAAGAAATGCCACTGTGAAACTGATGAGGGCCAAAAAACCTAGATAGGCAAGGACAGCGTAAAACATTGAAGTTGAGCCTTCATTACATTCCAAGATGGCCTCTCCAATCAGTGACTGAAAATCCAAGTTAGGAAATGGGGGAGAGGTTATCAGCCAGGTGGCACAAAGGACTGCTTGGACCAGGGGACAGGCTAAGACAATGGAGTTGGTCAGTGGTTTTCCTAAGAGTTTCCTTGTCTTGTTTCCTGGTTTGGTGGCCATGAAAGCCAGAACCACCATGACAGTTTTTGCCAACACAGAGGAAACTGCAAGGGAAAAGAGAATGGCAAAGGCAGATTGTTGAATAAGACAAGTGATCTTCCCTGGTTGACCAATGAAGAGGAAGGAGCAGAGGAAGCAGAGCAGGAGGGAGACCAGCAGGATGTAGGTGAGATCTCGGTTGTTGGCCTTAACAATCGGTGTGTCATGATGTTTATAGAAAATCACCAGGACTGCAGATGTGCTCACAGAGAGAAAAAGAGTGAGAGAAACTAAAGTGTATCCCAGGGTGTCTTGATAGGCAAGGAAGTGGATCTTCTTGGCAATGCATTGGTCCTTGTCCTTGTTGGGAAATTGGTCTTCTGGGCAGGGTTCACAGTGAGCTGCATCTGAAATCAAGAGTCTTTGTCTAAGGATTTCTTGAGCAACTACCATGCATATTATCTGTCCCTGGGGAGTGTCCTCTTTCTGCTGTAGCCAACCAACAAAGAATGATGAAAGGACTCAGCTGTCAACTCACTGGGCCCTTCAATGCCCTCTATGGCTTTCAGTATGAAATTGCCACTTGTTTCCCCCCGCCCCCTACTTTATACTGGACCCCATAGAAGACTGATAGATCTGTTAGCCAACAATGCTGCTGTTTTGTTTTTGTGTACATTGGTTATCCCTCCCTTAAGGTCTCTGCCCTGTACTTCAAATCTGATCATTCAGACTTTCTTTGCTCTCTTATGCTCTATTTAACAGACATAGATAGCAATAGCAATAGCACTTAGACTTATATACCGCTTCATAGTGCTTTTACAACCTTCTCTAAGTAGTTTACAGAGTCAGCCTATTGCCCCCAACAATCTGGGTCCTCATTTTACCGACCTTGGAAGGACGGAAAGCTGAGTCAACTTTGAGCCTGGTGAGAATCGAACTGCCAAACTACTGGCAACCGGTGATCAGCAGAAGTAGCCTGCAGTACTGCACTCTGAACACTGCGCCAACACGGCTTGTATAGATAGATGGATCTATTCTTTCTCTGGCAGGTTTATTTTCTCAGAGATTGATAGAGCTGACAGAAGAAGCATATTCTGAATAATAAAAATGAAAGCTTGAATCACATAAGCCCACCTCTTCGGGAAAAGTTTGGATGTTCGTTTTCCCAATTGGATGTTACAGTAGGAGTCAATATGCAAGTTGGGGATTCATAAATTTTACCCTGAAACTATCCTGCTGAGGATTGCTGAGGATCAGGAAAGGTGATCTATGGAGTTTAGATCTGTAAATTGAAGGGTTCTGCTGAAAAGTATGAATGCATCTCTATCTTACCAAAAATGACAAATATAAAAAACCATTGGAATTCATTATTGGAATGTATTTTTATGCAACAACTACTGCCAGTAGATGGCAGTGTTTACAAGTTTGGATCTATGGCTCTTTTGTTTTAATTAGAGTTTCCTGGTTCCTGTTACGGTTAAAACAGTTGGGCAGTAAAATACATGGTGTCTGTACTCTTTGTTTGGTCTGTGGAGCTACATAAACAGAATTTCTAACACAAACAGATATTTTGATCTACTGAATGGCTTCCTTGATCCTGGAAGGTCTACATTTAAAGTGTGTTCTACCTGTCTGATTAGAAAAGGTCCCTTCTGGACAAGCATCACACTGGTAGCAGCAAACCTGCTTGCCCTCTGGAACTCTTCTCCCCTCTCCTGCATGGCACCTCTTCATGCCACACCTGGCAAAGGGTCTCTTCTGCAAGAGAAAAAAGAAATTCTTGAGATGAAATAAGCGGTGATTATTCTTTATTATTTCATTTCCACATTTCTATTTCTATTTCCATTCCATATTTCTATTTCTATGCTCAGTATATCTTCAAAGGAAGTGGTTCTCTACTGTTTATCAAAAACCAGGAATATCCTGGGGGATTCAGGCCAGTGGCACTCCCAACTCACCAGTGGATGTTGGAGATTGGAACTGGGACGGCAACCTGCAAAAGAAGGCTTGTGACATTGAGCTACAGCATTTCAAAAATAAAGAATCATGAGGATCCAACTGAATGGGATTGGTCCATGGAAGTCATTGCCGCATCTTCATACTTCATCCTGGACTTCAAGCAGAAGTTCTTCCCAATCCCAACTATTTATGGATTGACACAAATTGTCAGACCTGGCCTGGAAGCCATCTTTTCACCTTTGAGCCTTCAGGCCTGCCACAAATTCTACTGTGGGAAAATGGGAGGGTGGATTATATGGAGTGAAGATGATATGTAGTCAAAATAGCATTCTTTCTAGAAAGTCAAGGCCGTTGTGCCCTGCAGCTGTGCTGAGAAGAATGAGGAGGTATCTTCTGTTCTGGAGGGTACCTGATTGGTTCGTGTGATGGACATGTTGGTGAAGGGCAAGGACTTGAACTTTCTTTTGGGTGAGGAAAACTCGGAAGCTCTCAGATTTGGGTTTTCCCAGATGTGCCAATATGACATGTCTAATTAAAATTAGCTTTGAGGAAACTCAAGCCTCGGAGTTTTATTTCGTTGGGGGTGTTACTTGGAACCCTGACACAAATCAGACCTCAAGTGTGTTACATGCAGAGCAGGTTTTTCACCAAATGACTGCCATATGAGAGAATGAATTTTCCCCCTGAACTTATATTTTCTTCCGGCTCACCTTAGTTGCCCAGACAATTGCATCAGCGTTAATGGTGAAATCATGGCCTGGGAGAGCCCTGGTTTCTATTTGCCCAACTTTCATGGGCACAAAAGATTTATTGAGGAGGAAAACCCAGTTGAGAAGATCAAAACAAGAAGATCCTGGTCCATTTCCTGAGAACGACATTTCCTCTCCAGCACTGTTGTTAAATTGGACATTCCACAAATAGTAAAGAACCTGAAACAAAATGCACCTCCAGTAATTGGGGACATTGGCTGATGATCACACAAAGTTATCATGGTTTCTGTCCTTCTTTGTTGACCATCATTTTAGGTCATGGAGGTATGTTTGAGAAACTAGAGGAATTCCGTTGATGGAGATCTGGTCAATCAGGGATATCATCAAATATTTGGGCTCTTTCCCCAGCACTACAAAAGTTTTACTTTACCATTCGCCTCTTCAACTCCAGTTTTTACAGAATAGTGCCGGAAAAGAAAAAGAAGAGATCCCAGAAGAAACAAGCATGGTTGCATAAAGGATTCTCTGATAAATCGAAAGATAAAAAGGACAAGTATAAAAAGTGGAAAGAAGGACACATAACTGAAGCAGAATACCAGCATATAGCCCGAATCTGCAAAGATGAAGTCAGAAAAGTTAAGGCTCAGAATGAACTAAGACTTAACAACTTCCCTGTTTATGACCCTGTACAGGGGTACAGTTGGGTTGATTGGATGGAGCTGAGTGTTTACTGGCCGGATGCCCTTCTTGACACCTACGGGGAGTTCACAACAGATATTTTTTCTTTGCACCCTAGGAGAGAAATATCTGCCGCTACCTAGGATTGAACTCTCAAACTTCCGAATGGGAAGTGAGCGTCTTCACTTCTGGTTCCACTGGAAGTTGGCAAACGGGCCATTTCTGGCCTCTGGAGGGCCTCCGAAGGGGGTGGGGAATTTTTGCCCTCCCCAGACTCCTAGAAAGGCTCTGGAGCCAGGTGAGAGAGAAAAATGGGCCTACTAGCCCATTGTGTGCCAGGAGCTGGGGGAGCGTGTGTGTGTGTGTGTGTGTGTGTGTCATGCATTCATGCACGGGGGCGGGGTGCATAGAATTATGGATGTGGGCACACGCGTGGACAACCCCCTGCCCCCCCTCCTGGCACGTGATGGCAAAACGGTTAGCCATCACTATTCTAGTCTATCTCCCTGCTCAAGAAAAAGACCTTTTACCACTTCAGACACTTTTCTCCCTTCTAACCCTTTCCAACATTATGCTGAATTCATATTATAGTTCCTATGTGTTTGTTGTTTTGATCTGTACTGAGATGTATTACATGGCAGCATGCAGACCTTTAATCAGTAATTGAAGAAATGCATATGGGAAGATTCCTCTCTAAGAATCTGTGGACTGAGTCAAAAGCCACAGAAATTACCTTCCATGACTGGACATTTAAGATGCTCTTTCCAAGCCTCATCAGGGTTGGTCGCACTCCTGATCCATCCATTGCATGTAAAGCGTGTGCCAGAGCATAAACAGCATTGTAGATGTTGTAACTTTCTCCTGTCATGCTTGTTTCAAAAATGTAAATTGGCAGCCTCTGCAAATTCTCCTTTCCAGTACATGTTTTTTTCCAGCCTGGAGCAATTTCACCTGGTTTGTAGATCTTGCATTCAAAGACCCTTTCCCACCATTGAGGGAGAAAGACGTCCCCTTGTGGGTTGAAAGGGTCTAAAGACAGGAGGAAATGACTGAATTCCGAGATATCCCCGGTGTGGTCCCTAAAATGCAAAGCCCCATGGAAGGGATTTAGACCTTTCAATATGTCTTGGGATTCCCCCATACTAACTTTCCAATGGGAAGTTAAGATCCAAACTTTGCAAAATGATGCCTTTGTCCATTCTTCATGAACTTTCATTGTCATCACTACATTTATAATACTACGGGAGACTCCAAACAGAATAATCACCTCAGCTTTGGACCAGGTTTTGGAACTATGAAATACGTTCCACATTGAAGAAGCAAAAAAATCCAATTTCAACCTTTCAGTGAAGGCCAGGCAGATCTCCTTCTCCTGGAGCATTGGCATCAGAGTTGAGATGAAATGTTCTCCATTGTCACTTTCGGGGGCCAGAAGCCCAACCCAGTTCCACTGGAAATGCAGGAGCAGCTGGACTAAACCCACATACTGAGGAAATTCTTTGGGATTAATCCGGAAGAAGGAAGGATAAATTGTTTTGTCTCCTTGAGAGAACTCAAAGCCAACACCGAGCTGGAGAAAGCGAGAATCTTTGTTTTCAAAGACAAAGTTTTATGGTGACTTTAAGGGTTCCCATTGTGTTGTTTCCTGCCCCAGCAGTCATGCTGACTAATTCTGAGTGGCAGGCTTAAACTTATCTCCTTTTTAGGAAGAGCAACCAGTTGCATATTGTGACATGTTGTGACATGTCAAAAAGCAAGTGAACAAACCATCAACCTCATACACAGAATAAGGTAAAGGTTCCCCTTGCACATATGTGCTAGTCGTTCCCGACTCTATGGGGCAGTGCTCATCTCTGTTTCAAAACCGAAGAGCCAGCGCTGTCCGAAGACGTCTCCGGGGTCATGTGGCCGGCATGACTCAACTCCAAAGGCGTAGGGAATGCTGTTACCTTCCCACCAAAGGTGGTCTCTATTTTTCTACTTGCATTTTTTACGTGCTTTCAAACTCCTAGGTTGGCAGAAGCTGGGACAAGTAATGGGAACTCACCCCATTACGCGGCACTAAGGATTTGAACCGCTGAACTGCTGAACTTTTGATCGACAAGCTCAGTGTCTTAGTTACTGAGCCACCACCTCCCCACAGAAAATAAAGTGCGCCAAAAATCTGGATACATTTGTTTGAAGAATAAATTAGGAAGGAATTTATCTCAGCAAGTGGAACATTTCAGAATTATGTCATTATCTATCTCTTTTAAGTTATTTGACACATAAAATATTGCAAGCATTCTCTAAATCACACATTCCTCTTATGTCCCCCCCAAAGCATACTTAGTTTCATCTTGGTTTCTATATGTTGTTAGTCTACTCCATACCTGTATCTGAAGGAACCTCCTTACCTGTGGGACCTTGAAGATGCTGAAGATGGAGGCCATCTGCCTTGAGGATTTGGAGTTGAGACCTCCAACGACAGAGAGCAGAGAGTCCTGTCTGTCACATTTGTAACCTGGAACCATTTGATCTTGTGTGGAGAGCAGGGAGAGGCTGATGAAGGAAATCTCCCTCTCAATCTGGCGATTGTCATAGATGTGGAAGCCAAGAGTGATGTTTGGGAGGAGAACCAGATCCTCGTTGATCACTCTGACGGCAAACACCAAGGCCAGGACCTGCTGGTAATTCTTGGCTATGGGACTATAGTGAGAAAAAACATTGGGGAATATTATAGGAAAGTGTGAGGGAGGAGTTTGCCTTGTTTCGTGGTGGGGAATTTTGGTGCAGGAAGTCCCAAATTTCATTGGGTTGGTGTTTTTTTTTTTAAAAAAAGATCTTCTTTGGTTAAACATGGATGGGTTTGTGAGAGAAATGTTTTCCCAGCCCCATTATGGACTGTTTTACACCCTTCTATCATCCCTTCTTCCTTCAATTTCTTCTAGGGGCTATAATCCTTCCAGTTGCTCTTGTAGCACCCAAATCAATTTGGATCTCCTCTTTAAGCAGCTTCTTCAGGCCTGGTCACCATTGGCCAACACAGGACACCAGTGGGGGATGTCACAATATCGGTATACCGAGAGCTTGGCAGTTTAATGAGAAAAGCACACAACATTTGAAGTTCAGGAAGCCACCAGACTGGTGTCTGTGTGTGGACAGCTGGACTCCCTCCCCTCTGTGGCAGCCCCTCAAATATTGGAAGACTGCTATCCTATCTCCCCTGGTTCTTCTCTTTACTAGACTAGCCATGCCCTGTTCCTGCAACCGTTCATCGTATCTTTTAGCCTCCAGTCCCCTCATCATCTTGGTTGCTCTTCTCTGCACTCTTTCTATGGTCTCAATATCTATTTTATAGTGTGGTGTTCAAAATTGGATGCAGTACTCCAGGTGTGGTCTTACTAAGGCTTTATAGAGAGGTATTTGTACCTCTCTTGATCTTGATTGTATCCCCCTC